CCTGGCGACTTGAAAATCATGCTGGGTGTGTATGCATGCTTGCCGAAAATCCCAAAAGGAGAATGGAGGAGAAGGGATCGTGGCATGACCTTCTCCCCAGGTGTGATTTCTCAATTTCCCTCTTTCTGTCTCTGGTGACTATACACACCCTATGGCAAAAACTTAAAAAGAATAAAAAAGTTTGGGAAGCAGCATTGTGGCCTAGTGGTTAAGGGAGCTGAATCCCATGTGGCCAACAACAGTTCAAATACAGGCTCTGGTGACTTAAAGAAACACACTCAGCACATGTACATGCATGCCCCAAATCCAACAGGATGGAGAAATGGAGTAGAAGGGATTGCAGCATGACCATGCCCCACTGGGGAGTGCTTCTTCCTGCTCCCTTTCTGTCTCTCTTTCTCTCTATCTCTCTCTCTCTGGAGAGTGCATGTGCCATGTGGCAATTAAGGGAGAAAAAAAACAGCCTGGGGAGTTAGTAAAAATGCACGTTTGTGCCTATACCTAGATATTTATATAGGGCTGCCAGAGTAGAGCCCGGAATTTGGCAACATGGCGAGATTCTGTAAAAACACTGTTCTTTCTCTGCCACTCATGCCCTCTCTCTCACACAGAAAGAAAGAAAGAAAGAAAGAAAGAAAGAAAGAAAGAAAGAAAGAAAGAAAGAAAGAAAGAAAGACACAGTGCCATAATTTTATTTTATTATCACTTTTTCAGATTTTGACATAGGTAAGGTGCACTATCCAGAAAGAGAGCAAAGGAGAGAGAGTGAGAAATCACCCCTGGAGAGATGGCTCCTCACAATTACTTCTCCTCTATGCCCTTCTTGGAATTTAGGGCACACATGCACAGCCTCCCAGCGTGTTTTTCAAGCTGCTGGGTCGGAGACCCTAACCAAGCAGCCGGCTATGTGGCATCCAGCTGCCTTAACCATCATGCCACCTGATGGCCCAATAATTTTTTTAATGAGATTTAAAAAGTATTTTATGAGGATGAACTTGCTCTAATTACAAGTCAAATAGTTAAATGAAGTAGTTAAATATCTAACATGGAAACACCCCCCAACACACACACACTCACACACATAAACATATAGAGAACTGACATAACATCAGAAGTAAAGCATCGAAGTAAAATGTATTATTAGTGTGCCACATAGGTCTACAGAGTTGTTTTTGTTTTTGTTTTTTAAAAAGAGAACTAAGCCACATTCTTACTTTTCTTCTTTCTTTTCTCTTCCTTATAAAAAACATTCCTGGGAGCTAGCAGATGGCATAGCAGTTACGTCATTGGACTCCCATATGGCTGATCACATGGTAGTTTGAGTCCCAGACTCAGTGGTTTCAAAATCAAACCAGGCACATGTGCATACCAAAGATCCTGGGAGGAGAATGGAGAAAGGATTGCGGCATGGCCATCCCCCTCAAGGGGTGGTGATTTCTCACTTTCCCTCTCACTGTCTCTGTCTCTCTCTTTCTGTCTCTCTCTTGTGAGTGCATATGTTGTAAAGCAAAAACCTCTAAAATAATAAAAAAAATAAATCCCTGAATATTTAGTTTTATTTGCTCAGTCACATTTAATTACAAAGTAAGGCTATTTAGGTCCGCAATTAGCGGAAGATGACAAGGTTCCCATTCCTCTGTCCATTCCTTCATGCACTAGTGCATTCTTTTATTCTTTTTCTTTCTTTCCTTCCTTTTTTTTTCTTTTTTTTTTTTTTTTTATTTTCTCTTAGGTCACATGTGCTTGCCAGAGAGAGACAGAATCAAAAAGCACCCATCCATGAGGGATGGTCGTACTGCAATCCCTTCTCCAAGTTTCCCTCCCTTTGGGATTCTGGGCACAAACATACATGTACCTGGCATTTTTTCAAGCTGCCAGATCTGGGACTCAAACTTTGTAGTCAGCCATGTGGTTATCTGAGCCTTAACCACCATGCCATGGTCTAGTCAGCATTCCTTTATTCTTATGCAGGTATTTATTTATCTGTTAACTAAACTTTAGATGCTGAATTCAATTCCAAAAAAAAAAAAAAAAAATAGATCCCATTCTCCTTTCAATTGCTCTCTTCTCCAGTGTTGACTTTCCCTGCTAATGACATTATTGCCCTCTGCTTGTCGCACTTCCTCATTACCCATCCTCTTCCCTCCACCATAATAAATATCCTTGCAAATCCAAGTAGTGACAAACTTATTTCCCCAGCAGAGATTTTCTGATTTCTCTCTGAATTTTCACTGCTAACTGACATTGTGATCAGAGTAGGTGCTTAGTTTAATGCAAGTAGAATGAATGAATACTTTGTCCTCTAACTTATCTCTCAACCACGAGCTCTTTCTACCACTAGGGTGGTAATTCAGGTCAGTAACACCTCTGTGTAAACCCCTAAAGCCACCTGCTGACATAATCTCTCCTTACTATTTCTCTTCACCTCAATCCATTCTTCACACTGTCCCCTGAAGCATGGCTCTCATCTCATCATCTGATCTCTTTATTATCTCATCACTCCTGGAAAGCTCAAAGTCCTTAACTTGGCATTCAAAGCCCTCAGTTTGGCCTCCCTGTAACCCTTCAGTCCTACCTCCTGCTAGGTCCTACCGTAAAACTCTCACTTTGCCCGGATCAGACCACAACCACAATCTTGACAACTTCTGAACTTTTCTCTCTTGAGAATGTGCTTTCCCATACCCCCACACCCACCCCATCTCATCCCATCAAAAGACTATCCATCTTGGAAGGCTCATTTCTTCTTCTTTTTTTTTTTTTTTTTAAGAGAGATTTTTGCTATAGGATGCATGTGCTTTCTAGAGAGACAGAAAGTGAAAAATCAATCTTCCTCCCACCACCCAGGAGGGGATGGCCACACCACAATCCCTTACCCTCTATTCTCCTCTCAGAATTTTGTGCACACACCTATGCGCCCAGCCTGCGTTTCAAGCCACCAGATCTGGGACTCAAACCATAGTCAACTATATGGGATTCCAGCCATGTAACCATTCTGCCATCTGCTGGTCCCCGTTTGTACAATCTTTTTCTTTTAATTAATTTTTTTATGAAAGTTATTTTATTTAACTTTATTTATTTATTTTAATTTGAACAGAGAGGGACAGAGTAAGAGAGAGAGGGAAAGTGGGAAAGCAAGCCACACTGGGAGTTCAGCACCTTTAACCACCTGGCAGCCCCCAGAATCTTAATCAGTATATTTCTCTGCCCCCTCAGCATCAAAGTTCCCTCAGCATTCGTTGCCACATTCTTTGTTACATTTTGGCTATTTGTTACCATATCTTATCTTCCTCTACTAGGAAATAGTTTCATGATGGGGAAAATTGGTGTCTCACTCATCTTTCCCCTCCAGTGGCTAGCAAGTACCTTGTATATTTAGAACCCCAATAAATGACACTAATTGAATTGAGTGGAATACTGAAAGATGATATAGTCCTTACTTATGAAAGGATGGGGGAGGAAAAAAGGAACATGAAAGAACACAGCAAAGTGAGAGCCTAGAGACATTTTACAATGAACCAGGAAATAAGTGTATACCTACTGTCAATGCCTGTTTGGCATGACATGTTTTCATGTTAAAAAAATAATAATTAAAGATTCTTTCTGATTCAATACCTCCAACCCAATCCAGGTTAATAACAATAAAAACTTAAACACACGTAAAATTTAGAATATTCGATGGAAAGTGCACTTAGAGATTGCTTCTAACTTCTTCCTTTCAAATGTGAAGAAGCTGAATGAAGTCTAGGGTGAATAATGTCCTTGTACATTCAGATTGGACCAAACACTGTGTTCAATGCTGTAAGAAATTCACCAGGAAGTCTTATTGTCCTATGGAATGGGTACAATTATTTATTTTTTGTAGAAATATTTTGTAGACATTTTTAAAATAATTATATATTTAATTAAATTTATTTATTTGTTTGCTCTAGGGCATATGTGCTCACCAGAGATAGAGAAAGAGAGAAAGTGAGAAAGCAAGTTACTAGGTCTGGGACTCAAACAGTGGTTGGCCATATGAGTCCAGTGCCCTAACCACCACACCACCTGCTGGCCCTGAAGTGAGTATAATTATTATTATTTTTTTTATGGGCACAATTATTAAGCCTCATTTTATAGGTGAGAAGGTCCAGGCTTGGAAAGGTAGAAGTAATATGCCCAATTACATAAAGTAAGGAGCAGGCAGAGTCAAGGTGAAAATCCACATCATCTAGCCCAACAATATTCTTTATTACATACTTCAAACCATGTTTCCAAGATCTGTCAAAGAGTTAGCAATAGATACAAGGTGACAATTGCAAACTTCTGACATATCATCAACACATCTTTCATTTATCACTTTCGGTCAGATTTTGCTGGTAAACAGGACATGTTTACTTAGGAAATATGCTTAGGAAATACAACTTAAAATCTAACGCAATTTGCTTTAGAATGATGGGTAATTGTCCTTACCAGTTTTAATGTCTTCTGTACTTGCCCATATGTTCGACGTTTTCTATAATGTAAGATAGTATGGAAAAAATTACACAAAACAAAATAGGACGTATAGTTCTCCAACACTACAGAATAAAGGGAAGAGCCATGTCCACAGCTCCTTAGCGGACTTTATTTCATCCAAACTTAGATTTTCTACCAAGACTCATTTAACAAGACTCACTTAAATTTAGGTAATACGTTTTCAGGAAAGTGCATGAGAAAGGAAAGGGAAGGGGGTGAAGACCGGTGTGGTTTTGAGATCTGTGAAGAGGAAGGCGATCTTACTCCTTTCACAGGCATAGGCTGCCCTCTGCTGTAAAAGATTAGCTTCGACATCCCGTTGTCTGATTAACAGCCGGTGTTCAGATCAGCCGTGCCCCATGAAAGCGTAAGATGTTGACGTGACATTTACTTACTGAGCTTAGTGGCTTGGATCTGAAAGGCAGCATCTGAAGATTCCGATCACTGAGTAAAGGTAACGAGATGATTTTCACGCTTGCTTTAAAATAACCCTTTTTACTTTATAGAGTGGACCAAATCTCACTTAATGGGAGGTCAGAGCCACTGCCAAGAGCATTTCTTATACTTTCCTATCAGAAGACAGAGCCGACGATGAGACAAACCCCCATGACAGGATTGTGGTGCAGATTAAGTGACGTCTGTGCATCACCACGCACAAACCAGGTGCGTAAGAATTGCTCAGCAAGGTGACGTGGTCGTCTTCACCATAATCATATCAAGAGAATAATAAAAAAGATCTGGGTATATCTTGAAGTGCACAGACAGCCCAATTGCCTACTCTCCCACAGTTTGGGTCCGAAGGTGGCTAAAAGGAGCACTCAAGTATGGTAAGAGCGATCTTGAAGCACCGTAGAGTTCACTTATGCTCCCAGAAAGGAATTTACAAGGCCGGACATTCACATATCAGAGTATTTATTTATTTATTTCAAGTTTCCAGAGCATAGGTGCAATTTCCCGAGAGAAACAGAGAGACAAAGAGAGGAAGAGGGAAAACCAGTCCCCATTGGGGAAATGGCCACACTGTATTCTTCTCTCTATCTCTCCATCCACTGGGATTTACACATGTGTACATACCCAGCATGTTTGCAAGTCACTGGGGCAGGATTTGAACCACAGTCAGCCATGTGGTATCTGGTTTTCCTTAACCACCTAGCTATGGGTCTAGGCCTAGAAATATTTTTAATAAAGGCTAAAACATCTTATGTTCAATGAGAAAACAAGGGGTTGGGCATACCATAATTTAAGTTGAAAATTCGACAAGAAGAACCCAGTCCCCAATACCATTTAACTAACTGAAGTTTCACTCTTTTACTTTTCAGTGATTTTTGTCTTGCATCTTCAAACCAAAATGGATCTCAGTGCTGTTAAACTACAGGAGACGTTGCCCTGCCCTTTCCCACGCCCACGCCCACGTGAGAGCAGCAAAGGAACTCGTTCCCTACAGGAATGAAGCCAAACACGTATCAGACTCCATTTGGTATTCCGCATGGGAAGCAGAGTACCCCGTATGTACCTGTCGTGTGAGGACACATGCTGAAGGCCGGCTGGTGGCACAAAGGTAACACTCTGTGATGCCAGACCCACTTGGGAAGGTGCCAGGTTCCTGAGGTCATCTGGAAAGTCCTTACATATGGATAATAAATGCTATATTATGTCTGCAGGATTATTTTTTGGGCTCTCCAATTGATATTTTATTCACAAATCATTTAATTTCAAAGCAATATTGGGATACAGTAGTAACTAGAGTAGAAACCCTGCAAGCCTGAAGGTCTTTTTGGATTTAATAATGAAAAAATGTCTACGAATGGTTGGGTCAGAACAGCGACTTTCACTAGGCCCACTGCCACATCCTTTCCAAAGACCAGTTCAGGAAAGTGGCA